TTAAGCAGTATTACTTTCCAATGAAATACTGAAGCTTTCTTTACATGGGAACTCCCGCAGAAGGTGTTCATTCAATTAGCAAACTGGTTTCATAAAGCCAGTTATTTGCCCGATAACCTATACTTTAAATAGAATTTCGGCGTTCATTTGCCACACGATAGAATAATATGCGAAGATTCTTCAAATATCTTCCAGTTTTATCATCCGTTTCGACGAAAGGGTCTAATGTCATGCATAAATTATGAATAACCTTGAAGAGGATTCACCAGTATAGTTTAATGAATAGCTCAACCTAAATGCCTCTGATTTCAGAATTGAGGGATGTGTGTTTTACCTCAAGATTGCAGATACACACTGCTGAGGACTGGCGACAGACACGAAATGTGTGTCGAAGGTTTCCTACTAACTCTAATAACAACAATTCATAGTGAGTATTCAGTAAACATTGATATTGAACAGAAAAGTACTTGTGAGTTGTGCATCTACAAGAATTCGCAGATTTTACTAGCTAGAATGTAATCAATTGACCAGTGTTGAAATGCCTCACCAAATGTGCACACCAAATTCAATGAATTAAAAACATTTTAGATGTGTATAGTACTTAGAAAAGACATTCTGTGTAGTCACATGATTCTCTTTACAGTGGAATGAGTAAAAAATAACGATTTGATTACCCTCACTTATCACATTCGCGTTTTTCAATTATAGAAATATTATCTATGTGGTTTGTTAAAGTGCAGTCATATATTAGTTATTTGATTTTGTCAATTAAACTTTATCTTCAGAGTCATAATAATCGACTACATTTTGAATTTACATATGTGCTATCACATGTTGTATTTAATGGATTGCATGTCTTTGTCTCATTTTTCACCTTGATGAGTGTGCGTCGGTGGCACAGTGGTTAAAACTCTCGCCGACCATGCACAAGATCCGGGGTTCTAGCCCACGCCGACGTACACCTGATATCTATGGTCAGCCTGAGAAATTTGGGCTACCGATATCCAAGCTGAAAATTCCAAACATGTACCAAAAATACAGTGCGGAATCAAGCTGTAATCAAAAATAAATAAATAAAATAAAATAATTATCCATTGCTTCCAATATTCCTGTTACCTCAAAACAGAAGTTTGAAATGAGGCATGGCAATTTTTTACATTTTTGCTGAATTTTAACTGAATCAGACTATACGTCGGACAGTCAACTTAAGTCATACGCATTTCATTTTGTGGAGAGTCAAGTTAGTTTTTTATTCTATAGCTCGTAGAACATTAACACTTGGAATGAGGATTTTTATTCTGAGACATTTCGAGTAAATAACTGTGTGCACATATTAAAAAATTCCCTGCATATCATTCGCATTATACATGGTTACCTAACTGACTGAGTGACTGGTTTCAACATGGAATCTTGCACCGATGTTCAGCAGTTCGAGTCGCCACACTTCACCCAGCACGCAAAGGCTGAGAAGAAGAAAGTAAAAAAGGAATGTAAAAAATGACAGCGTAGAGAGTTATTAGGTGAAAAGAATAGTAATATCGAAGGAAAATATGGTTTTATGGGTATTATAAGTCAAAAAAGTGGATGCATCTGCGCCAGTCATTGAGAACGATTTCGAGCCAGCCATATCACTGATTGTATTCAACCATGGTGTTTACCGTTGCGAGGACCCAAACCAGTCAGGAAGTTTACATCTTCCTGCGTGACCTAAACTAACTTTTGTGGATTTCATTGACTGATGAAGCCACCACTGGCTATTGTTCAATCTAATCCTATAACAGCTTACACTGCCTGTCTAGAAAGGCGATGGCCAGGATTGCGTAACACATGCCCTAACCATCCCAATCGACGTTACTTCACAGTCTCATCTGATTTCCGAGGTAAAGTTACATGAAGTTATTTCGGCATCACAATACAATCTTCTGAATAGTGAGTTCACTTAGCGAACTTTTAAAGGATTTCTCACACATGTTAAATTATAAATCATGAACATTATAGAAGGAGAATTGATTGAGATGGAAGTTTAATGTTAGTTAGGCATTTTCTGCAGTAGTAATTGCTCAATAATTTGTAGAAGCGATAACTGATTTTGGGATGGCATAAAGCGCCCTGGAATATTGCCTTTTTACATTTTTGCGATGATGGACTGTTCAGCTGAACCTTCAGTTTTGACTTTGATCTATTCGGGAATTGTTTCATGGGGACCTTCTTGTTTTATTGATTGGAAGATTTCATACTGAGCTGAGGTCAGTTTGATAACCATTGGAAAATGTGGGAGTACTGCACGGCTATTTCGTTCTAGTTTGGGACTCCCAAGTGAGTGCGTACTCGTGAAGAGTCTGAAACTAGGCTGACTTAACTGCTGTTCAGTACTCCGATGTTTTCCAATGGTTCTCTAACTGATGTCATCTCATGATGAAATTCTCCAACCAATTAAAATTAAAATAACTAGCACAAATAACAAATAGTACTGTTTCCATCAGAAGTGGCATTCGTAGCTCACTAAGCTGACTAGTGAGGGCATCTCATTGAGAACAGCTTGATTCAGTTGAGCTTTGAATGCGTATCTACAGAACTATGTTAAATAAACGAAGTCTGAATTTTGTATTTCAATACTGTTTACATATATATATCTTTGACAGTTTGTTATGAAATAAAATATTTTTACCATTATTGTTCTGCTTTTCCCATCAGATATCTGGTCTCAAACCTTGAAATTTTTCTTATTTGCGTGGAGTGATATGTAGCGTTTTTGTACTTGAAAGGCACTTTTATGTCGCGTAGACAAATTACTCGACTGCGCTCATGCAGAAACAGATTTCTAACACCAGCGAATCATTCGGTTCCTACAGTTAAAAATTATGACAATACACAACATTCGCTCTGAATCAGCCTATATATTAGTCAGAATATATCACAAGGCTACGCATACCATAAAGAAAATAATACTTTTCGTAGAAATCATAACTGAATAAAGCGTGAAGGAAATTAGATTTCTGGAGGCGTATTCCAACTTCACTTATACACTTCAGTGATCGGTAAAGAAAAAAGCTCACTGTTGAAACAAGTCTGTTATTTTCAGGTCTCTAAGATTCTCACAGTCTCAATTATATAATTCCATTAAGTCAAATGGCACTTATAATGTGCCACATGGTATTAACGACACGTAGGAAACTGATGTCAATTCTACAGAACGGACAGCATCGTACATATGTTAAGAAAATTTTGTAAGTAACAATCTCCGTGTAATACATTGCGTATAAATTGTGTAAAATCTCTTGTTGTCAACTGTAGGTATGTTTACAATAGGTGGTAGTCATCATTTGTTCGACAGAGAAAGAACATTGAAAATATGTAGCTAACAAAGACTTAGTTTAACTCATTTCCAGCAGATAAGTGTTTGTTTGCCAGTCTTAAAACCCGTATTTCAGAAACACCAAAGATACGATGTTTCCATAAATAGTCAACTTAGTATAAAACAAGTGAGTCCCTTTAGAATTTAAAATTTATTTTGAATTCGTGATCTCTACACTTATTAGAGGGTTAAACAACATAACAGTAATAAAGTGGCGTAAGCTTACTGATAGACACGTCAGTGTGAACGTGTTTCTAAAACTGGTTATCAGTCTTTCTTCAATCCTAGACACCTTTTCTTCTTTTTAAACACATCCGATATAATAAACGTAAAATTTTCTCCATCAGTAATTTAATCATAACTGCTATAGAATGAGAGCCTGAATTATTGGTCACAACAAGTGAAATCACCTGTTCCATGTCTCAAACAATGAGGATAATGTTGTTATTATGCGACGTATAGATCAGTCAACTAACTGGTTCCTATGACAAATGAAACCTAATACTCATATTATAAAGGTGAATCAATGAACATATCGTATGAAAACCGTTGTGTCTATGTGTGCAATATAAATTCACGTACAAATCAGAAGAACTTGAATAAATGCCTATTAAAAGAAAGATGTTGATTAACGTCTATAAAACATGGACGTATTCGCATGAAACACTACTTGTCGTCTGCCTGCGCCTGGTAGAAAAAAATCACTTCCATAAAACACCTTATTGGGCAACACATATTATCCTAAATCTTATCTGATATCAAGAAATTCATCGAAGAGCCCATTCGTCTGGTAATTTGCTACTCCACAGAGGATAGGAACCGATTTATGGTCGTTTTGCACCATGTGTTCTTATTGGATGGATATAATCTCAATATCATTTAAGGGAAGGCATCTATATGAAATCAAGACCAGAACTCACATTCATTGGAAGATCACTTCAGATATGTCTATTCTCTGATACAGAGTGATGTATATTGTGTGCTTTCGTTTATATTTGTATTAAAACATTTTCATAGCTGATTTTTGTAGTAAACTGCTAGCACCTTATCATTTAAGTAATCGTTAATTAAAGCTTTTTGTACATTGAATTTTCTGTTGTCACTCGAGAACAATGCCATATTTTGGAATTTCGTCATAAATATTTATCACATGATCGATTGACAACCTAATTTTAAAGCAGAATTCATTACAATTTTAGAATTCAATATTCTGTAGAAATTTCTATTAAGCACAAAATGGTGCACAAGTTCTATACTCACGAAAGTTGGTATATTTTACTACTAAGATTGTAATTTATTTATGTGACGTGCATATCATATTAATGTTCAAAACGCACTCATGGATTTACGTCAATTAAATGAAGTAACTAGTTTTGATGTGTATAGCCGCTTGAATAGATAAAGAATTACGCTTTATGCAGAATGATTAGTTGAAATTGCATCATTCCAACAGTCGATATTTATCTCGCACCAGGCACGTTTGCCATTTTGAAGTGTGTAGAAACATTCCAGGAGTTCCACCCACATGCATATAATTATTAGCTGATATTTTGTGAGTTATTTTTTATAAATTGGCTATTCTCAGAATCATCATAATCAATCACCTTTTTTTGGAGTTTTTTCTAAAGTGCCACACGTTGTTTTAATGCGACACAGACTTCCCAGTATTCTTATACATCATAAACGTAATTCTTTTCTATTTTTAAGTAACGAAATATTACTTTAGTTTATTTCAGATATCATACATACTTCGAAATGCAAATCAACCTCAATGAAATTCGAATTATTATCGTTTCGACAAAATGAATTTATATAACATTGTTTTATCAAAGTGTTGATTGCTTGATTAACTAGATAAGAATAGTTAATTGAACTATTGTTTTTGGCTATTTATTTCAAAGGAGGGCTCAGAATATGATAACGTAAGTCCTAGTGATTAGCCATTTGTATATATTCTTACCACACCTGTGTTAGACTAATACTGATTATATGCTTTTCTGTTGTTCTTATCGGACTGTATGAATTTGAGTGCTATTCACGCAAGATGATCCAGATGAAAGTAACATTCCCCTTGAGACACAATGATTGGAATATGGCGTCCAGCAAGGAGGTTTTTTTCGATGAATCCCTTTCACTTATTGCCCTCATTTATATACCATTTATATACAATCCCTTTTCAATGAAAAATGGTAGTTGTGATAGCGACGGGTTGTCGCGAACACAGTTGTTATTGTTAGTCAATGCATTAAAGGAGTTGAACAAGCGTATTAGAGGTACTTAATCGGATGAGTAGTATTAACGAATAAGCTGTAATCAGAATATATATAGAAACAAATGGAAATATAGAATTGTGTAAGAGTCTTAAAGAAATACAAGGTTTGGAAGGAGTTAGAAAAGCCAAGAAACAAACAAAACAATTAGATATAAATGCGATTCTACAGCAAGAGATACTGGACTCGCTCAAACGAGCCTCTTCGCTGAACTACGTGTTTTTTTATTATTACTGTTCCGATGAGACTTTGTCATGAAATATAGAGTCCTTCAAATGAAGATTGTATGTAGAGTAACTTGGATTTGGAAATGAAATATGTTCCACGTTAACGTCATTTTCTCAATAAAGTTGCTTGATACGTAACACGATAAAAATTAGCTGGCAATTTTAAGCACGACTGTTTAAAACAAGAGTCACTTCATCTTGAATTAAATGTGACGGTGAAGTGTTAGCAATTAAAGTTCCTTAAGCATGAAGTCATAATGGTGTAATATCTACTACAATCTCTTATTTGTAGAATGACATCCATGAGGCACGCGGCACACTTTCTATGTATGAATTCTGTTACACTGACTGGTCATAGTAATAAATATATCTCAAACCATGTGTAAGTTAGTTGACTCATTTTACTCCGTTCTGTTGGATTGTTATTTCCACAACCATCAACCTTTTGGATTTCCCTGAATAAACACGTGTCTTCCGTAGAATGATATTTTACAAATCAACATGTTCATGGAAATCTGACCTGTAATTTGATAGATTCTAAATCGTTTCCATGCCCTTGTTAAAACGCACTAAAAATCACACATTTCAATGTTAGTCAGTCTGTCCTAAGCTTGATAGTAAGTTTTCCTCTATGGTAGTCAAAATAGCACTATAGAAACACTATTCCTGTCAGTTTCATTTCAATACGAGATCAGAGATGGGGGAAAGTATATACACATAGGTGTCGAAAAAAGGCACAAGTGACTAGCTTGACTTAAACGAGTTTGGATTCACTGAGTGAATTATCAGTAGGTTTATGTTACACTTAGTGCTTTAAACCTAGTCTAAAGATACTCTGCTGACCATTGGTCTTTGTTACTACATGGCAAAATCTTCTTCTTCATTGCATGGCTGATATTGTTCTTATGCTTGTATATTTCGAACTGTATGCCCCTGAAAACTGTTCAGGTTTACTGAATGGCAGTCAAAGTATTACTCCTGATGAACGATGTCTAAATATTAGGGATGCATGTGAATCTGGCAGATGATTACTGAAGTGAAAGAAATGGTCATCCCGGTTCCACTTTCATTCATCACGATACAAAATGTCTTCGCACTAATCCTCGACAATATCGAAGTGTCCGTACTAGAAACCACAGTGTCTTTGGAGACCGAGAATTCCGGTTCAACATGAACATCATGAAACCTAAATACGACTGCGTTTCTTTGTGATTTTCTTACACCTGAATTCGATGAACATGAGGTCAACTACCTACAGGTGTCGTGCACTAATTAATAAAATTACATGTTTCATTGCTTTGCTGGTGATGAAAATAAATGTAACGTCATTCAGTTTGCATCGAAAATGTTAAACACTTGATGCGTTTGCAGACGACAACAGTAAACATGAGAAGTAACACTCTATGTTGGTGTTAGTAAATCAAAATCAAATCAAAAATCATACATAAACAACCATTTATGCATTACACCAGAAATATATTAGTGCTGATTTACTTCAAATTGTATGGCAACTGCTATTTCGATTACACTTCTCATCCCACCGGTTAACACGGAAGTAATTAGAACAAGACATGTAGGCAAACAATATTGTTTTCAATTATATCTTCTTCAGGCTTTACTCTAATTTACACAGACATATATAAAATTCTAACCAATGACGGTGGTTTTATGGATCAAGTATTAACGATAATAATAATGTGGTAAATGTTTGGAACGAAATTAATATCGATGATTACGATGATAACAAAATACTGGTAATATGGTTTATGTAGGTGGCGGTAAGAATAACAAGGATAGTATATATATATATATATATATATGTATAAGTAGATAATTCGAATCCCAGTGAGTGTGTACTGCCGATGATTCCCAAAGTAGGATGAAACAGCAGCTGTCCAGTACTCTCTGGTTTTCAATGGTTCTCTAACTGATATCAATCCGTGATCAACTCGTAAGAAAATAAGTAACCCTTACTAACCAAACTATAGAAAATTCAATAAATAAATAATTTAGGTCAAATCTTAAGAGGTGAAATGAAACGATAATCAGAGTTTAAATAAATATCATAAAGGTTCGAGGGAGATGGAAGATAAGAAAGGGTAGGTGGGTTCTGAATAGAATTCACCTGGGCCAAGAGAGAGTCAAAGGTAGAACAAACTTCCTTTGTGTACAAAGACTAGGATAATTCTTTCGAATTCCCATAGCTTCGGCTAAGTGTAAATGACTGGTTCTGATTCAGTTCGAAAGAGTCGATGGAATGCGATAGATTACTTTGAAGGCACTATTTTTGTCCACTTGAGGACCGCTATCAGTCAAATAAGCCGAAATGGAACTTCTCATAGATCTTATTTGACCTTTTCCGAACCATGAAGGAAGATGCGCAGTAATGCGTTTGTTAGGCTGTCTAGTTGTTTGCCATACATATATAGTTTTCTCCACGGAAGCAACTTAATTGATATATAAACATGGAAGTGGCAAAGTTAGGTAGCTAATTTTTCACTTGAGCAATCAAAATTGGTCGGCTGGAAAATGACAAACAGAGATTGGCGGCACTATTAGTTCTTTAATCGCTGTCGATAATCTCTGATGTAAGACTTCACTAGCCACGTCCCCATTATATTGCAGCTTCTTGAACAGTTGTTTCTTTTTAACTGTTGTCAGTTGTTCTTTATTGTACCTGGTGTTCATGTGTCTCGTTACAAATCTACTAGGATAACCCATTTGGACCAACGTATTTTGGATGTATCCTAGCCCATTTTCTAGGGAGAGAAAAAATCCTTGTCTTTTTTTATACAAAAGAAGTTTTTCCTATCTTTGTCTCTCCCTTGGCCTGGGTGAATTCTATTCAAAACTCTCCTACCCTTGCTTATCTTTCATCTCCTTCGAACCTTTATGATATTTATTTAAACTCTGATTATCGTTCCATTTCACCTTTTAAGATTTAACCTAATTTATTTATTTATTGAATTGTCTACATATACACATATATACATATACTATCCTTGTTATTCTTACCGCCACCTACATAAACCATATTACCAGTATTTTGTTATCATCGTAATCATCGATATTAATTTCGTTCCAAACATTTACCACATTATTATTATTGTTAATATTCGATCCATAAAACCACCGTCATTGGTTAGAATTTTATACATAAGTCTGTGTAAATTAGAGTAAAGCCTGAAGAAGATATAACTGAAAACAATATTGTTCGCTTATATGTCTTGTACTAATATTATAAATGGGAATATTCAAAGATGAAGTAATTATCTTTATTGTTAAGACTGGCCGATTTTTTCTCCAGTCCACTTTCAGTGGTAGTCCATATAGAAGGCAGTTGAAATTTGTTAAGTTTCTCAGGAAAAATAGAATTTCATTTGATCACTGAAAAGGTATCAAGACATTTTATATCTGGCAAAATAGTCCCGTCTCAGAGTTTTATACGACAGCCAAGTGCCTTCATATTAAAACTGTGATATCGTCGAAGTAATAGTTAGTTATTTCATGTTAGTAGATGAATAAAAATCTCTTATGAGCTTTTAATCACTTGATGCGCCACAATCTTATTTTGATGATAGTGAGTACACATGGTGTATAAATTAAAGGTACTCTAATGTGCATGACATTTATCTTCAATATCTTTTTCCTTATAGGTTACAGTGAAACCATTATTAATCACCGCATATAAAATATTAACTTTTCAAAAACTGTTAACTGTTTCATCACAAATACAATAATCATGTAATCCATTGCCTTCTCTCTCTGTTTCTATCCCTATACATTCGTGCACTCATGCAATGAACAGTGATTATTTGCGTCATTTGAGGGAGGAGTTTACATGCTGTTTTTCGTATCAGTGTTTTTTTATCAAATAACTGACCAATCACAAATGTTAAAGTTGCTATTTCATGCCTGAGACAATGACGGCTCAGTTATTATATCACTGGATGTTGTGAACAATTCGTAGAAATCCATGGTATCATTTGGTGTGACTGAAATCCAGTATACATTCGGAAGATGTGAATGAATTCTTATGAAAACAAAGCAGTATTACTTTCCTATAAAATTTTGAGGCTGTCTTGACTTGGGAACTCCCGGAGAATGCCTTCTTTTAGTCAGCAAACTCTTTTTATAACTCTTTTTATAAGCCCTGATAAGTTTTACGTCAAGCATAGCTCTGCTGTTTATTTGTCACACGATAGAATAATATGAGAAGATTCTTTGAATGACTTCCAGTTTTATCATCCGTTTCGATGAAAGGGTCTAATGTCATGCATAAAATATTAATAACCCTTTAGATGATTCACCAGTATAGTTTAATGAATAGCTCAGCGCAAATGCCTCTGACTTCAGAACTTGGAGATAAGTGTTTCACCTCAAGATTGCAGATACGCCTTGCTGAGGAGTGCCAACAAACACAAAACATGGGCCAAGGGTTTCCTGCTGACTCCCTTCAGAAATCTAATAACAACAATTCACAGTGAATATTCAGTAAACATTGATATTGAACAGAAAAGTACTTGTGAGTTGTGCATCTACAAGAATTCGCAGATTTTACTAGCTAGAATGTAATCAATTGACCAGTGTTGAAATGCCTCACCAAATGTGCACACCGAATTCAATAAATTAAAAACATCTTAGATGTGTATAGTACTTAGAAAAGACATTCTGTGTAGTCACATGATTCTCTTTACAGTGGAATGAGTAAAGAATAACGATTTGATAACCCTCACTTATCACATTCGCGTTTTTCAGTTATACAAACATTATATATGTGCTTTGATCAAGTGCATACATTTATTAGATGTTTGATTTTGTCAAATGAACTTTATCTTCAGAGTCACAATAATTGATTATATTCTTTTAAAATTTACATATATACTACAACACATTTTATTCAATGGATTGTATGTCTTTGTCTTGTTGTTTCACCGTGATGACTTATCCACTACTTCCAATTTTCCTGTTATCTCAAACACAGAAGGTTGAAATGAGTCGAGGAAGTTAATATTTCAACTGACTCGGACTATAAGTTAGACAGTCAACTTCATTCATACGCATTTTAATTTGCAGAGAGTCAAGTAAGTTATTATTCAATAGTCCGTAGGACAGTAACACTTGTAATGAGGATTTTTAGTCACAGACATTTTCGAATAAATAACTGTGTGCACACTTTACTTTATGACTATTAAAAATTCAATTTACTCTCCCTGCATATCCTTCGTATTAAACATGGTTACGATTTTGAGCCATATCGCCAGTTTTCTTCTGACATTACCACCCCGAGGACCACAACGAGTCGGGAAATTTACATCTTCCTACGTGAGTTAAGCTAACTGTTGTGAATTTCATTGACTAGTAAAGTCATGCTTTGTTTTGACCACCACTGACCTCTTCTCCATCTTGACCCTATGTCAGCTTACATTGCCCGTCTAGGATGGCGACGACCAGAAATGCGTAACACGTTTCCTAACCACTTCAATTGATGTAACTTCACAGTCTCATCCATTGACTTCCAAGGTTACCTAGAGTTACATGAAGTTGTTCCACCCGTCTGAGAAAATATTCGCATGATAGTACAATATTCTGAATACTGAGTCCATTCAGCAAACTTTTACAAGATTTCTAACACATACTAAACTAGAAATCATGAAGATTTTGTAGGATATTTGATTCAGATAAGAGTTCTAATGTAAATTAGGTATTTTTTGAAGCAGTAGTTTTCAGTAATTTGAAGAAATGGTAACTGATTTCATGATGGCTAAAAACGCTTTAGTATTTTCAGACTAGAATATTCAACTTTTTTATTTTTGCGATGACAGACTGTTCAATTTCAACTTCAGTTTTGACTTTTTACTCCGTACCGCGAATTTAATTTGTGCGATTTAATGCAGTCAGATCGGTTGAGTTCACAAGGTATACTCCGACTTTTCCGTACAGTATAAGAACGCGATGATCACCAAAACACATTCAATATTACTTTATTTCGATGGGAATGAAATCATCAAATCAATGCGCTTGCTTTCATTGATACATGCAGTATGGTGCGAAACCCGTTTAAAACTAAGTAAGCTGTAATGATATTAGTTTTCAGTACCCGATAACTGGAAAGCGTTATATTCCTAATGGTGCTCGTGCAAAGTGCATTCACATTTGAACAAATCCCATTAAAATACATATATATGTACATTATCACCAGCTTAAAATTCAGATAACAGCATAAAATAAGGCTAAACTTCAGTCTTGTCATTAACCACCAGCCACCATCTAGGGAGATAAAATCATATTAGTTCTTAGTCCTTACTTTGACGTCCGTGCTGAGCATTGATACTTGATTATGACTAAGCATCTTGATAAAAATGCGTTCAATTAAAGTAAAATTTCGAATTTCCATGAATTGGTTTTGTAGGGCTCTTAGTTTGATTGATTGGAAGATTTTGAGACTTCAAATGGGTGCGTACTGGTGGGGAGTCTGAAATTAGCCTGACAAAACAGCTGTCCAGAACTCCCAGGAGATCCTCAATCCAACTAAAATCAAAATAACTAGCTTAAATAACAAATGGCACTGTTTTCATTAGAAGTTGCATTCGTAGCTGACTAAGCTGACAGGTGATTGTGTCTTATTGGGAACCGAGTGGGTTAGTTGGATTGTTCACGCCTATCTAGAGAAGTAAGTTAAATAAACGAAATCTGGACTTTGTATTCCGATGCATTATATACATATATATATGTATATATATGATCAGTTTGTAATGGCAATAATTTAAATACAAATTAATTAATACAACTATTGTATTACGTTTCTTCGGAACTTCGAAATTTGTTTTATATATATGAGTAGACAGAAGACAAGTAGTTCAGCGAAGAGTCTCTTTTCGGCGAATTCATTTTCATAGCTGTACAATCGCAAATATATATGGTTATTTTGTGTGTGTGTGTGTATACATTAAATTTGTCAAACGAAAATACAATTAGTAGGTTCAGATGAATTGGATGTTGATAAGAGGATAGCAACAAAAGTGATGAGTTGTCATAAATGATTGTTAAATAAGAGTTACGTAATGGCATGAATAGTTTGATGAATGAGTTGTGCTCAAAGGGTGTACATGGAAACAAAATAATATACAGAATTACACAAGGGTTTTAAGTTAGAAAAATAAGCATACAAACAGAAGTAAGGTCAAATCAAACAAACAAAGAAAAGTTAGGTCAAATCAAAGGAGTAGTTACCATGCGAGTAAAAGTGGTTGGATAATTTTCTTTTGTATGCATAGTTCTGGTTCCTCCAACTGGATGGCTAGGGCTTCTGCGATGCAAAGAAGACGGAATCGTACTGTCTTTGGAAGGTTGTTCTTCACTTTGTAGATTACTTTGAAGGAGCCAGGTACGTCGGTCGTTCAACGCGCATCCTGTCTAAAAGGGTAAAAGAACACTATCCAGCGTGGCTACAGAAAGGAAATAATGGCCATATAAGGAGTGCAATAATCGAACATCTCGTCAATACTGGTCATTCCATCTCAACGAACGCCTCCTTCAAAGTAATCTACAAAGTGAAGAACAACCTTCCAAAGACAGTACGATTCCGTCTTCTTTGCATCGCAGAAGCCCTAGCCATCCAGTTGGAGGAACCAGAACTATGCATACAAAAGAAAATTATCCAACCACTTTTACTCGCATGGTAACTACTCCTTTGATTTGACCTAACTTTTCTTTGTTTGTTTGATTTGACCTTACTTCTGTTTGTATGCTTATTTTTCTAACTTAAAACCCTTGTGTAATTCTGTATATTATTTTGTTTCCATGTACACCCTTTGAGCACAACTCATTCATCAAACTATTCATGCCATTACGTAACTCTTATTTAACAATCATTTATGACAACTCATCACTTTTGTTGCTATCCTCTTATCAACATCCAATTCATCTGAACCTACTAATTGTATTTTCGTTTGACAAATTTAATGTATACACACACACACACACAAAATAACCATATATATTTGCGATTGTACATCTATGAAAATGAATTCGCCGAAAAGAGACTCTTCGCTGAACTACTTGTCTTCTGTCTACTAATGTTCGAATGGGAATTATTCATGAATTATATATATGAGGTGTTTTGCGGCCTTATTCAGAAGAATATCTTTCATGCCATGGGAACAAATAAGTCCGCCAGACTCAGGTAGCCACAGATTTCTAACATCAGCAAATTATTCGGTTCCTACAGTTAAACATTATGTAAATACACTACATTTACTATGAATCAACCTACACATTAGTCAGAATCTACCACAAGACTTCATTCACTATAAAGAAAATTACACTTACCGATGAAATCATTACTGAATTAAGCGCAAAGGAAATTATATTTCTGGAGGCGTATTCTATCTTCACTTATAGACTTCAGTGATTGATGAAGCAAAAGCTCACTGTTAAAACATGTTTTGTTATCTTCAAGTCTCTGAGACTCTTAAAATCTCAACTATATAATCCCACTGAGTCAAACACCAGATACAATGTACCACACATTATTAACGACACGCAAAGAATTAAAGTCATTTGTACAGAGTGGACCGTTTTGTACATATTTCAGGAAAATACTGTCAGTGAAAATTTCCGTGCATTGCACTGCATAAAAAAAAGCGAAATCGCTTGATTTCAAATATAGGTTTGTTTTCAATATATGGTTGTCGCCATTTGTTCCACGGAGAAACAACAGCTGTCAAAGGTTTGTTTC